AAGGACTTATGAGTTATATAATTAAAATAATTGGGTCAATAGTATAATTTTGGAAAATAAATGAAATATTTTCCTATAAATGAGATGAAATTCGTTCAAGCCAAAGGAGAGAGCATTTTTTTTTCATTTTCTCTCAAATCTTTCATAAAACAAGCTTTCTTTCTCTAAGGTTTAAAGGAGTTTTGCATAATTTTTCAAGGAGAACAAGATAAGAGCCCTGGATACTTAAGTTTAAGGGTTTAAGGTAAGGATTAAAAACCCTAGATTTGATGTGATTTGAAGATTTGAAGTAGATGTTGAGATATAATGTTATATATGTAGGATTAAGGTGTAAAAGAAAACAAAAGCAAAGGATTTGTTGGAGGAATTCTTTAAAAAGGTAAGGAATGACCTCCCATGACTTTAGGGATTATGCTAGGGTTTGTAGATTTTTATGAAACCTTAAATTAAGGCTTTAAGGCATATAATTAGTTGATGGCAAGTGTAATTGAACTCATTTATTCTATTTATTGCCTTATCAATTATACGTTTTAAAAAATACGGTACAAGTATGTATGAGTTTAATACGACACATTATCAATAATACATTTTGAAAAATATAGCAATATCAATCCTAATTTTAGTATTTTTCATGGGTCATTTTGTTAAAATTTATATAGTATTTCAAATATATGGGTTCGGTAAAAAAAAGGGTATGAGAATTTTATAAATATGATATGGCAAACGATAAAAAATATATTTATAAAATTCAGATATAAAAATAATTCACAAATAATACGATCTAGGAATATAATTCGCGAACGAATAATATTACTAAAGAACGGTAGTAAAAACCAAGAATAACTGGTATTTGAAGCAAAAGAGAGAGAGAGGGTGAAATTAGAAAGTGACAGCTTAATAATTAAATATGGGAAGTTATAAAGGGGCAGTTGCGAGATTTCGACAGATCAGGTCATTGATTAAGGGACACGTGGTCCCTCTTGAATAGAGGTTTGGGTTATTGCGAGATTCGATGTGCACCAATTAAAGATGATTGTGACTTTTCTAGTCAACAAAAGAACATGCCACATGTGACGCACAAATTCCACTTTCTCAATTCGATATTATTATTATGCAAATGCAAGCCTGGATTTGGTTTTGGATTTTACAAACCACCAATTTTCTGAAATGATTTTTCACCTATTCTAAGTATGTTTCTCATTTTTAAAACTTTGGGTTTGTTGGGTCCATTTAAAGAAAATATATATAGGATTTTAATTTAAAGTTTTTTTGTAAGGCAGGGATTTTAGCATCCATCTCTATCATTATCCATTATTTTTCCCTTTTCCATGTATTGGCTTTATTAGAGTTAAAAGTCTAGAACTCATTTTGTTAGTGGGCATTTACAACAATATTTGACTCATTAATTTCTTCTTTTAAATAAATAAATAAATTTTATTCTTCAAATATAAAAGTTAACGAGGTGACCCAGCCATGGCTAGTCCAGCGATAAAGGGATTGCAAATGGTCCAATCCACTATTTTAGGTTTGATTCTTTGCTTGACGCAAATGAGTTATTGTGAGATAACTTTTTTTGAGGATTAGTTGAGAGTTGGCCTGAACAATGAAAATAACCGCCTTCAACTTCTATCTCATATCTGTTAGATTATAATAAATTAATGGCCATAAATTTCTATTCCAATTTAAATCATGAATTTTAAGTTAAAATATACCATCCCTATATATGGTTATAAGGGCTAGACTAAAGTTGATCTTGGGAGGTCAAATAGAAATGTTCACGAATGACGGAGTTGCAGTATAAAAGATAAATTTAAGAAGTTGGATCATTTAACGTAGGGGTGTTCAAAAGAACCGATTGGAATCGGAATCGGTGGGTACCTAGGGTTTGGTTTCGGTTCCAAATTTTTGGAACCGTTACTATGCGGTTCTGGTTCTTATAGTTAGAAACCGGAATCGGGAACCGAGACTAATATAAAATAAAATTAAAGAGTTGGGAGTTAATAAAAACTTTTGTAGAAAAAGTAATGTGAATACATTTATATTTATATTTCATAACATTTAAAGTAAGTTGGTTTGATTTTTGAGAATCTATCTTTACAAAGTTTATGGAGTTTGTAATTTTGAATTTATAATTTGTAATTTTATTTTTGTTAACAAGTTCCAGGTGAGGGGTATTTGTAAGTTTTTAAGGGTTTTTTTGCCATTTTAAAATTTTAAGGAACCGTCGGTTCTAGTTCCAGTTCCTTAAAAATTGCACCGAATACCCCTAATTTAAAGGGTTCAAAGTGTCAAGATTAATGAATAAGCAAGCCTGATGTAAAACTTAAACTTTTAGGGACTACATTGATAATATATCTACTAGTTTTTCCAAAGAAGTAAATTAGAAAACAGAGGGAAGTCATATCAGTAGTAGGCAGTGAGGCCCGGCCACTAAATGCCAATAATGACTTCCCCAATGATTTTATAATTACAATACTTGTTTCATTTTAATGATTTAATGACTTAATAAAAGTACATACCAAATTATAAACCATGACAAATAATAAAGAATATAATCTATGTTCAATTAAGTTAGCTGTTAGTACTGGCCCTAGGTTTAAGCCCACATCAACCCAACTTTGGCTGTACTCTATACTAGGACTGCCAGTAATCAATGCAAAATTTAATTTCCCAAATATACCCTTTCATGCTCTAAACTCTTAACCAAAAAATACATATATTATTATTTATTTCTAATTAAGAAAATTGGTTAAAATACTTTCAAAAACAATTTTTAAATATGTTCTTGAAACAGAAAAAAAAAAAAAAAAATCAACTTCTAAATATATGAAATAATCATTCTTATTAATATTCCTAACAAAATCTCTCCTCTTGTGATCGGATGATAAACCTTTTACCCGTTAGGATTAAATATATCTGTAGATAATATATTTGAGTTATAAGAGAGACGCCTACCACAATTACGTAATTACTTTATTCTATTGGGCTTGAGGGTGTTCCGTGACCTTAAAGATTAGGCGGGTTTGACTGACAATTGTGTCTGATCCCGGATACCTCAGTTATTAAAAAAAAAAAAAAAATATATATATATATATATATAAAGATGATGCAAAATTTTTTGATATTAGAAGTATTTTTCTAAGAATTTAAACATATAATATTTTTCTATTTAGAAGTATATATAATTCAACAAGTGTACATTGAAATAAAATAAAATGGTGTGACAATCATTTAGGTAGGATATCATAAATGAGTAATTTATCTTTAATTACTATTAATAAATTTTTATACCCAATTTGATAGTTAGGTGTCCACTATTAACCTACTTGTGGCATAATTATATCTTTTGACTTTTTCTTATTTTTTTTTACTATAAACGTTAATCTAAAATAACCTATAGTTTAGAGCTTAATAAATAACATTTTACATTGCTATTTAAATTACATAATTTTATTTTTAGTAAAATTATTTAAACTATATATTATAAAATAGACAGAAAGTAATAATTTTTGATTCTTTGGTAATGTCTTATTGCTCTCATGATATATAGCATGTGCAGTACACGCACTGAAGAGGAGCATGAGATGGTATTATTCTCCTACTCAACTCCACTAATCAACATTGTGTAAAAGCGATTGGAGATGTGAGAGGCGGTGGTTGGCTGGCCAAGGAGTTGCATATAATCTAGTGAGACCGGTAGCACGACGAGAGTTTTTTGTTCATACGTGGACCTTACATATTGGGGGCGGAAATATCTTGGCTTCTTCGTGATTGGTTGGTGTCATCTAACTCGTGCTGACCAATCAACGTGTGACACGTTTTGTAATGGAGTTACTTTTGACTGACCCAAACTCCTTGAGATTGTAACCGTACAATTATGTGGGAGACTGCGCAATGAGAGTGTTGTAACCGTGTGTGGGGCCCACCGCATCAAGTTGCTGTCGCAATTGAAAGTTGATCAGGACCGTTGCTTTGGCGGCTACCGATCGAAACTGACCGTAATAATGACACAAGCCAAAAAAAAAAAAAAAAGTAAAAATATATAAAAGAAATATTTGAATAAAATATTCTTAATATGTTTTATATTTTAAAAATGTGTGTTTTTTTTTTTTTTTAAACGATATGAAAAGATTCAAACATATCTATACAATTAATCTCTTAATATGAATGTAAATTTTTGAAATAGAGATAAATTAAACCATTAAAGTAAATGATGATCACGAACATATATTGTAAGAAATGATTTTACAATTAAAACCGATTGTCTCAAATTCTAGAATGAATTGAGAAATATGCAGATATATACAAGACTTAGGTTCGATTCTTCTTAAGCATCCCAAATTCAAATGGGCCATTGTTGTGATGGTGAGTTGACCGAACACTTGGTTAGAAAAAAAAGAAAAAAAAAAGATTTCGATTAGTTATAAATGTGTTAGTATATAGGGCTTCTGAAATGAATTCAAGTGTACTAAAATTGAACCAAAATGGAAAGTTGTGATCATCTCTTGGTTATTATATTTGTTGATGAAGGTGATCGGACGGTGAGGAACATGTGATTGACTAGTGCCTTACAGTGGAGCTTGTATCATTTCATGATGAGTGCCAACGCCTTGAGCTTCTTTCACAACTCAGAAATTAAAAAGCCAAAAAAAAAAAAAAAAAATAAAAAAATATAATAAATGGCTTTTTTAACATTATTATTTTAATGTTGAAAATAGACTGTGTTATTATAATAAAGAGAACAACTTTCATAAATTGCAGTATCCACAATCGCCATAACCTCCAATCACAACCCACCACCATCTTCGTTTCATCTTTCAGTTTTAACATATTTTTTGTTTCAAGATTTTAGTATTTTCAGTAGCCTTGTTGTAAAGATACTTACTTTTTTTTTTTTTTTCCCCTTCTTTCTTTTCTTTCTTTGTTGCTCAAACCTCAAGAAAGAAGAAGAAAGAAGAGATCTTTTCCAGCTTTTGTCACTGAATTCGAGATCTCTAACTGGGTTTTTCTCCATTTCAGCTTTAGTGTTTGTTTCCCACTTATATTTCAGTTGCTTTCTCTGCTTCTCAGCTTTATAAGCTACTTAGATTAATGGGTTGTTATGTTAACTTTAGTTGTTGGAGTTTCCATTTATTTTTAAGAGATTGTTTCTGGTTTTTTTTTTTTTTTATTTTGTTTGGAGAAAAGGAGTTCACTGTTTCAGATCTTAGTAGAGAGGTATTAGGGTTCTGTATCAAGGGCAATTTAGAGTTAATAATTTTGTGTTTAAAAATAAATTTTTTTTTTTTTTTCTGAGAGTTTATTTTTATTTATTTGAAAGTTGTGTCTTTTCAAGATTCCTTGTGGAGTATGCCCCTATAAATGAAAAAAGCTATTCTGATTCCTTGCAAATGCTTCATGATTTAACACTGATATTTTTCATTGTGATACCTCCACCTCCACTTCTCTACTCTACATTTTCCTCTCATAGCTTCTCTGCCTCTTGCTCTGCCTTTCCTCTGTTTCATCTCTCAACCCAAAAGCTTCAAATTTTGAATCACAAATCACTGTAAAACAATCAAAAACCTATCATATCACTTCTAATTCATTAACATGTTGCATTAGTTTTGTGTTTTTGCCATCAACTTTGCTGTGATGAAGTGGGAACCAGAAGTAATCTCCCCTTCACCATATCTTTCAACCAACAATTGGGTTCTTGAAGATAGCAAGACCACAAAATGGACAGCCCAAGAGAACAAAATTTTTGAGAATGCTTTAGCAATATATGATAAGGATACTCCTGATCGATGGCACAAAGTCGCGGCGATGATCCCTGGGAAGACAGTTGTAGATGTAATTAAGCAGTATAAAGAATTGGAGGCTGATGTGAGCAATATAGAAGCAGGGCTGATTCCAATTCCAGGATATAATAATACTAATTCCTCTCCATTCACATTAGAGTGGGTTAACAATCATAATAGCTATGATGGGTTCAAGCAATCATGTGGAATTGGTGGAAAGAGGTCCTCGTCAGTTCGCCCTGCTGAGCAAGAAAGGAAGAAAGGAGTTCCGTGGACAGAAGAGGAACATAAGTAAGCTTTTTCGTTGAATGTTTGATATTGATATGAAGAAATTGTTGTGCAAAATTATACTGAATCTTTGAATTTGTAGCCTATATGTTATGTGATATCTGTTAAACTTTGTATTGATTTTGTATTTAAAAACTAGTCTTGAGAGTGATAGTCTAATATGTTTGCAGGTTTAATCGTTTGGTTATTTTCTGGGTTGTCTAGGCTAATTTTTTAGATTGCCATGTTGAATTTGATTTTAAATGGTTTTTTTTTTTTTTTGAGATAGATATTCAATGATTTTCTGCAGGCTGTTTCTGTTGGGATTGAAAAAGCATGGCAAAGGAGACTGGAGAAACATCTCGCGTAATTTTGTTACCAGTAGAACGCCAACTCAAGTGGCTAGTCATGCTCAAAAGTACTTCATCAGGCAGCTCTCTGGTGGTAAAGATAAGAGGAGAGCTAGCATTCATGACATAACAACTGTAAATCTGAACGATGTGAGAACTCCTTCTCCGGACAATCAAAGCCCTCCTTCACCAGATCAGTCCACAGGGCTTTCTGAGCAACCTGGTTCTGGTGGCTTGTCCAGAACACAATTTCAATGGCATCATCCAAATAATGGATCAATCATGTCCTTTAGTTCAACACAAGGAAATATGTTAATGACATCCCCTTATGGGATGAACTCATATGGTCTAAAAATGCCAGGACAGAATCTGCAAAGAGGTGCAGTGAATGAGCCTTACTTTGGACTTCAAAATCTGGCTTTTCAGATGCAATACCCTCATGGATAAGATGCTTTTTTCTTTGAAGTATCAGTGGCTCGACCAGCAGCCGTGTTTTCTTTCAACAGCTCATTAGTATAGTTGTGTACTTGTATTTGTGCTTTTTCCTTGTTTTTATGTAAATATATTTTATGAAGAATTTGAGTTTAGTCATGGTATTATTAGAACTTGGAGGGGACAGGATTGTGCTTTGCTTGCAAATTACAAGTTCTGAAATGTGAAACCGAAAGAAGATTCTCAAACCCTTGGAAGTTTAGTCTTTGCATTTAAGATTCTGTAGTTGAGTTGGAGGTCTTGAGATTTTCTCTCATGATTAGTTACTCTCATTTATGTGGTTAAGTAGGCAGAGAAAATGCATCTCCAAATAGGCATGGTGGATATTATTGTCTTCAAAGATTGTAGGAACTAGAAAGTGAGAAGAGTTTGAAGCACAAGATTTGGCTGCAGCTGCACAGGTTTTGTCCCATTGTTTGATGCCTCTGAGATAAGATTAGAATGCAGAAAGAGAAGTAATGCATGGCTATGGAATTTCAAGAGCATTTGGAGAATGAAAATAAAAGGGCATCACCAAGATAAGCATCTTCAATTATAAATGGAAAGCTCGGAATGTGTTTTAAAGGCAAAATGCCTATCTGACGCTATTTCTATGAATTATGTAGTGATATTAACAGTGAAATGACACTATTTCTGCTTTCCTATTACATGGGCATCTTTGTATTTTATCTTTTACATTACTTGATCTTCCTTTTGAATTTGGTCAAATCCCTCAAAAATTTAGTAAACTGTTCAGTGAGCAGCATCCTATGTGATTCTAAAACCTTTAAAACACTGTGAAAATGAATCCTATTTTAAAAAAAAAAAAGGGCAGCGTGATTGATTGTGCTTGAGCTTCGAAGCTAAGTTGAGAGGCTGGTGGCTCCACATTCCACCAAACTTGAATTACATCATTCACTACTTCATTATAAGACCTTTCTCAAAAGAGCCTCCTAGGAAAGAAGAAGAAGAAGATCCCTCTTGGGGCTGCATATTATCAATTATTTAAGCACAAAATATAGTACAAAGTAGCTTGTTTTATATAATTAATTTGATGGTCATCTCTTGTGGCATGAGAATGAAGACTAATCTAAGACCACTAGTACAGAACCTGTATTCTAATTGTACGGTACTAACTGTAAGTTTAGATTTAAGTAAGGTTCGTGGAGACAATATATCTATAGCTTTAGGCAGAGTTGAAGGATCAAGGGTGTTAATAGTGGTACTAATTAAGTATAAGTGGGGGTGTATTGAATTATTCATAATCTATTAAGACAAAGTACCAATGATGGGGAAGTACTATTTTCATAATATTCAATGAATGTTCAACCAAAATCCAAAAACACACGCATACATACAATTACAAGACTCTCTCTCTCTCTCTCTCTCTCTCTCTCTCTCTCTTTCTCTTCTCTCTTACACTTGAACAAAGAGAATCTTCTTCTTTCTTTGTTGATTGCGGCTTTGAAATTATGTTATTATAATGACAAAAGTAGCTACTATTTCTCCATCCATTCCCTCCCCCACATGCATTTTCCAACTACAATACAATTCATTACATGGGTTGTCTTTTTTTTTATTTTTTATTATTATTTTTTTTTTTGTGATTAGGAGTGTTTGAAATAGTTTACGTGTATCTTGACTAATCTTTCAAGGTCATAAAGTTAATGACTGGATAAACCATTTACTGGCTACCTCTATTAACAACCAAAGAGAATCAAATTCAAAATCTCAGTCTCTATTACCTTATCTGGGCATTTAGGGGTGGTTTATATGGGTTATCTTACTATTGTTACGGTAATGTTACCGTTTTACTTTTTCATTCATTACTCACTCTAATCATAGTCAAAGAGTTATTAATTACCCTTAATTAGTCAAAGTGTTAATCACCCTTCAAGTAATCCAATCTATTTAGTGAGATTAATGATTCTATGCATCCAATCCAATCGTTTTCACAAAACCCATTTCTAGCTCCATGAATTTACAATTTTCCTTCTCTAAAATCCATTTAAATTGGCTTGTTTATGTTAGAAGTAAGTAAGTTCCTTGGTTCAATTAAGATGGGCATTGACACAAAATTCTAACTTTAATAATTTTTATTGTATTTATTTTAGCTCCTCCACAAAAAACAAACAACTTTCTCTTCTTTCTACTTAAATCTTTGATTTTAATTTAACTCTCAATGAATTTTCAACTTTAGGTTGACACTCAAAACAAAACGACAAACCCTAAAGATAAACCCCATCTTACTTTGCTTTGCCTTTTTTTCTTATACTATTTAGCTTACTACTTACTTGCATCTTTTAATCCCGAATCTTATGGAAGTAAACTATAGATCTCGTCATCCGACTAACCTTTTCGGAAACGGTCTAACCCTTGTAGCATTTTGGGAAATAGAAAATAACGACCATTTGTCATGTAGCGGTGTGACAAGCTCTAATCCTGCAACCTTATGGGAAAAACCACGAATCTGATCATCGACTAAACCTTTCTAGTGTCATGAGAAGTACAGTTGCCAAAAAATAAAACTATATTCTACCTAACCCAATGAGCAAAGAACAGTAGACACACAGAAATCTTAATATAATGTCTCCTCAAGCATAAATGACAAAATTATCCCACCCTTCCTTTACAGAAGCACTAGCCTTTACAGCAAGTTGCTAGGAAAGAAAAAAAGGCACTTGTTTACTTTATTCTTATTTCTGTGTTCACAATCTCTTAACTAGTGTTACATTACACCACATTCATAATATCAAAACTTCCTACTTGGTTATATCTATCTTACTCTCACAAAAAATATTCTGATTCTTCTCCAGGATTGCTTAGTGTAAATCACACTTATCAACTGATGTATACAACTGAACCTCTAATCTGAGCTACATATTTTAAAAAGCAAACATAAAAGTTTCAATTCCAATTCAATGATTTCATAAAATCACAAACGAACAAAGTTTGTCTTGACCGTGATTTGAACTACCCTCTATCTACACTAGTATAGTCAGATCATTGGTTGTGTGTTTATTCTCTTTGCTGCTTCACTGGCCCGCCAGATCTGAAAAAATAATTATCTTGTGGGTCTTGTGTACATTTGGGAGGCATTATATGAAGGGAGGGAAAGCAGCAGTATTTTTATCTCAATAACATTAAACAAAGTAATCATGCATAAGGAGTTGAGATTTAATTATTCAAGAGGAACATATCAGATTACAACAACATAGTTTGAGGCATCTTAGGAGAAGAGAAAAATTTTAACATACCATGAGAATGTGATATAATGTCTGTCACCATCTGGATTCTGATCTGACATTCTATCTTACTATCTCCTGCTTTCGACACGGAATCGAAATAGTTCAGTATTTGCGTATTGATCTGACATGCTCACCTCAGCATGTTTCACACACAGCTGGTATTACTAATTGAACCTCTTGCCAACAAACTATATCGCCTTCGATGAAAAAGACAGGTTCATGACATTTTGATACAATTATGACAAGGAAACAGTAGGATTGTGATAGAATTTTATGAATCTGAAACTAGCTAATTCCACAGTAAGAACCTCAACCTTAGACCAGCTTGGTTCAAAGATTATTTAGGCCAAGGGTTTCTCCTTATTGCATGCCAACCAAAACCGAGAGGAAATAAAGGGTCATATGCATTATCTGCAGCATTCATTGGCAGCTGTTCAACCTTTCTAACCATGTCTGTGGGAGTCGGCCAGTGAAATCATAATCCCCAAAGACAACATCTGCAATTCCTCCTCCCTCACTTCGGGCAACCAAGCAGGACCAAAGCATCTACTTTTTCCAATAACTGTGGCCTACAACCACAGGTCTTCCGTTATCAGAATAGCATCGTGGGAATTTTTCAGCGACTGAGTGATAACATCACTTCCATTGAAGGGGATTAGAAGCTCCAAGTGTCACCGTGGTTCCGCATATGGTTTTCACCAACAGCTACAAGGAAATGAAAAATTTTGTTCCGCTAAAGTGTCTGGTGATGGATATTTTTCATAGATCACTTCTGTTTCTTCTCCCACTGCTTCTTTGATTGCATCCAAAATGGTTGCACCTGAAATGTGATTATTTTGTTAGTACAATGCCTGCATTACAAAGGAGGTAGATTTTTTTTGCCCATACGTCATTGTGACAAGGTTTACTAGGAGTCAAACTGAGGCATTATAATTGGAAATAAGCTGAACAGGAATCAGATATGTTAGTCTTCTTTTTTACTTTCTTCCTGCCTGCTGCGTGTGAATTGGAGGGGAGGGGTGGTGGTGTGCTTCTCAGGCATGGACAGAAATCATTTCTATTTAACTTGAAAAGAATAGTATTGCACAAAATTGGAAGCAATTAAACACAAATACATAGCAATAAAATTAAATATAACTACTTCTTAACGACATGGTAAAAGTGCATAAACATGAGAATATGTGTAGGGATGCATCTGGTGTGAGGTGATATGAATGTCTATACCTCATGGAAAGAGTCTAGACTCCAGCAGTGTAATCTCTTTACTAATAAGCAGACTAACAAGAAGAAAATAAAGAGAAATGATGAGAGAAGTGGGGGCAGGAGAATACAGCTGCATACAATTGTAATTCTGCACTAAGTCCAACCAAGTTTTTGTCCATCCTCCACATGATACCCAAGATCATCAGCATGTGATCCAGTGACAAAAATTCTTTAGCATTTCTGTCTAATGGAAGAAAAGGTTTCTCAGGTTCTTTCCATTCTTTAGAAGAACTAAGGACTTTCGAACTGCTTCACGAGCCAGTTCTTGTGAAGCTGCAAAAAAATATAAAAGACATGATATCATCTCTCAGTTACAGGTAACTTCATTCATAATTAAAAGGCATTCAGTTGTCTCCCCATAAGTAAACCTTAAAATCAGAAAAATAAACAAAAGAAAATAAAAAAGAGAATGCAACCATTCTATTTCTTTATTTTTAAATGTGGTCCTTTTGTTTGGACAAAATGGCTCTGAATTTTCCCCCTTTCCTTTGTAGATAGGGCTTTCATAGATCCAGGAAGGGAATCATAATATGAGTGCACGATTTGGTGATAGTTAGGCGTTGGACTGAGGCAATGTCAGTATAGAAGAAAAGCATGAAAATTTATCTGTAAGTTGGTAGACA